AATAATGACTACATATGCTGTAATACCAATATGATAATAAGTAGAAATAACTACAGTTTCTAATGGTATGAGTTCTGTAAGGGTAGTAGTAAGCAAAATCTCTAGGTTTTACAAGAAAATGATTTTAAATGGGACGCGAAATTCTTCTTTGGTCTGAAGCTTCAGCAGTTGCAACAAAAGTCATCGCCAGCTCTACTTTACACTGCTACTTTGAAACATCTTTGTAATTTCTATGCCAGAAGATGAGACGTCGGATTAATGGAAGAACTTTTATTGCCACATCTGTGCCATTGTCTTGCAGAACGTGAAAAGTTTAACTATCATGGTTGCGCATCGAAAGTGAAGCGCAGAAGGAGTTAGTAATATGAGAGATATAACTGCAGATGGTGAAGTTTTGTAGAGTACACATGTTACAATATTCAGTACCATATTACATAAAATTCATAACTGTTATACGTAAAATCATATTTATTCTTTTACTAATACTATACTGTTTAGAAACGGAAGTTAAATCTGGAGAATTCATTTAAAAATTAATGGAACCCTGCAAAATGACGCCAAATATCGAATTTATTATATGCATTCCCACAGATGTTTTGGGTTACGCTCGATCCGTCTTCAGGTAAAGCCAAAATATAAATCGTTACAGTAAAGTAGCATTTTCACCACGGAGATTTTTGCTTTAATAGCGACATCTGCTTCACAATTCTGTTCATGTGCCCAAAAATGATGTCACTTGATTTCTTCATAAACATTAATTGGAAATTCTATCGCTTTGTGCCCGAGAGCGATGATATACTTAGCGGTAGCATATTGACGGGCTCTTCATAATTTAGCACCATGTTCATGATCAGCTTTGGATAAAGGTCATCCACACTGCTTTATATGTAGTTTAGGAGTCGTACTAGATACTCGACGAGTGGAGATAAGTTTGAGTTTCAAAACCGAAAATATCCGCTTCGAGCAAAATCGTTCACATTTAACTCAGACCTGATATCAACTTTAATAGTCTTGCAATTAATTGTGTTATAATGCTTATGCCTTGACGGAATTTTATTTGCTACAAACGTTCGCTGGTTCCCTATAGCGCGTTGCATTTCTGTCTCCTAAAACACAATATAGCGAAGTTTCATTGTACTGTCAAATAAGTATCATGCAAAATATACAAGTGCCAATCTGCTAAGTGCTATGCTACCGTATTGGTACAAACTATAGTTAAAATCAGCCTTGTGGTACATATTTAACTGTATCTGCAGCAGCATTATCCAGTGCCATTGTATATAAGTACAAGTTACATAACTACATACTGTGGAATAACATCAGTATTACATGATGCCCATTTTTATATTCGGTAGTCATATGTTACCTGAAGAATATGTAATTACGCACCTTATAATACTAATTTAATCTACAGTGTAAACAGTAGCATATATATGCAGTTGCATGCTACAAATACTGCAGAACACTAGTATTAAATACCGTTTTATACACAAAACGGTGCTAATCTACTGACATTACAGTATAATACGATAACCTACATACAGTAAAGGCGGCGAAGCAACTATTTATGTACTGTAGAAAAATCAGTAAACGGTAGTACTGTCCAGTTATCGGGTTAATTTCCAACCTAACGGTGACAATATCCCTTGTTCGTGCGTAAATGACTTGCGCAGAGAGTGGCTCCTGCTAGCAGCTCACCAGACAAATAAAAACCAAGAAATATGGGTCACTGGCTATCAGCGCTACAGCAGGTAAGTTTCTTCTCAAATGTTGGAACATACTATCCTTCTCTGGCGAAGGTAAACTGGTCGGTGCCTGCCATTTGACTCGCTAGTGCAAACTGGACTTAATGACGGTCACGACGCTTGACTTAATGGGAAGGGAAGGCCACGCCTCATTCGATACATGTGGAAGGTCGTTTTGGTAGTCAGTCAAAGGCAGATTGCTCCATGCCACGATGGGGTGTTTTCTTGTTCCAGAGGCTGATCAGTGTGGTCATTTTTGTAGAAAAGGAATCGAAAAGGACAGACAGACAGATAGACAGCCGGTCAGTCAGTCATGCTAGCAAATCGTCTCGAAAAGCCTTCATTTCCTCCCTTTAACCCCTTGAAGAACAATCGTCCATGACTCATGACCACTGGTGAGCACTGCTTGAACAAAGGCAGCATGTCTAGTCGCATGTCATCCCAGTTATGTCCTAGTCGCAAGAGTTTGTGATAGATCACAAACCGCGGCGTTGCAATCCCAGTTCTCTGATCCGTAACCTCCTCGAATCTTTATCATAAGGTAGACATGATTTCTAACGTGATTACATGAGCTTCTCCACCTGTTCCACTGTTCCGCAGTTTCTTTGAAACGTGAAACGGCACGAGATTATGAAAGAACAAGACTCATATGTTTAGTAACATTCTCAGGCATGCTCGCCTCGACGCACTCATTTGCGAACATTTTTGAATATAGCTTAGCATCTGTTCTTGAAGATGCCAACAAGGCAAAGTTATCCGTAAACAGCAGCATTTTTGTCCCAACAACTTCCACTCTGATACCCTTGTCAATATAGTTAAGCGTAACTATCCAATCCATATAAAACACAAACAAGAGTGCACAGAGCGCACTCTTGGCGGAGATTAGTGCCATCACTGAAAGGGCAAAACTTGATGCCGTTTAACTCAAAGCAGCACCTACTATCAAATATATATGTGTATTTAATATATGTTTGCTATATACATAAATATATTATTAAGGAATGCATATCTGTCAAGCAGCTCGATCTATCACTGTAAAGTAAATTAGTCCATACTTTCCAGTGATAATACATGAGAAAGGTGACTTCTATCTGGGTTAATTCAAGGCAGTATAGGATATGCCATGCTAATAATGGGTTGGATTGTATTAACTGCATAAATAAATCATAATCTGTTGTTAACGAA